AGAGAGTGCAGAGGAGAGCCACATGCATGATCAGAAGTCAGGAATACAGACCTTATGATGGGAGGCTGAAAGCCATGGGACTCTTCAGCCTGGAAAAGTGCAGGCTCAGGGGTGATCTGGTGGCCACCTATAAGTTTATCAGGGGTGCTCACCAGGATCTGGGGGCATGTCTGTTCACCAGAGCACCCCAAGGAATGACAAGGTCAAACAGTCACAAACTCCTACATGACCGTTTCAGACTGGACATAAGGAAGAACTTTTTTACTGTCCGAGCCCCCAAGGTTTGGAATAGACTGCCGCCGGAGGTGGTTCAAGCACCTACCTTGAACACCTTCAAGAGACATTTGGATATTTATCTTGCTGGGATCCTATGATGCCTGCTGACTTCCTGCCCTGGGGCAAGGGGCTGGACTCAATGATCTTCCAAGGTCCCTTCCAGCCCTAGCATCTATGAATCTATAATAGAGAGAAAATTTATGCTGGACATAAGAAAAAAACTTATTTTCCCTAAGGATAATTAGAATCTGGAATACACTCCCAGTGGAGGTGGTGCAGTCACCATCCTTGGAGGTGTTCAAGAGGAGGCTGGATAAGCACCTTGCTGAGCTCGTTTGAGCCCAATAACCTCCTGCGCATGGGAGGGGATCAGACTTGATGATCTTGCAGGTCCCTTCCGGCCCTTTGATTTTAAGATTCTACCCCAGCTGTTCCCTGTCAGCCCAGGAGCAGGTGCAGAGGAAGGGAACCCACTGGCAAACCCTGGCTCCTTGTGCAGCCTAGCTGGAAAAGGACAGAAGCAGCTCTGGAGCTTCTTCCTTCCAGCCTCTGCCCCTCATGGCAGCTGGAGACAGCAGCAGCAGCAGCGGGTAGGAAAAAGGGAAGAAGGGAGAGGAGGGGAGGTGCTGCTGAGCACGGAGGGGAATGGAATCTTACACAAATGGGAGATTTAAAAAAAAAGGACTCTGGCAGCTTTTCCTGCAGCATCATCAACTGAAGGAGAAAGTGTCCACACCACTGAACCCCCTCTGGATTGAACCCTGCACCTGAGTTAGCAACACAGTATTGTTCCAACACAAGGTTGGGCCTGCCAGGCCATTCTATCTGGCCCGTAGGGCACCTAAAAAGTTTAAAAAATTAAGATTTATCTGCTCCTGGCTGCCTGATAAAGATGACAGGAGCCAGGGGCAGTAGGACCAAGGGGAAGCCAACAGAACCCAACACCAAGGCCAGCCTGGCCCCTCCCCCCTAGCCCCATCCCAGGGCTCCCAAGGCCAGCCTGCCCTCCACCCCCCAACCAGAAGCCTCTGCCTGTGGCCACTTTCACAGGTTCCCTGCATGCTGCCTGGCAGCTCCAGCACCATGTGGGTCCCAGCTGCATCGCTGGATTTCAGGAGCACAGGGCCCGCGCTGATACCCCAGGGTCAGGAGCTGCCAAGGAAGGGGTGTGTTTGTGAGTGCATCCATGCAGTGAGGAAGGGAGAGACAGTGCATGTCTGTGTTTGTGTCTACGTGTGTGTGTGTGTGATTGCAATGAGGGAGGGGGAGAGAGAGATAGAGACAGATAGAGAGGGCAATGTGGGAAGGAGAGAGAGTGTAGTGAGGGAGGCACAGAGCATGTGTGTGTGTGTATAGTGAGGGAGGCACAGAGTGAGTGTGTGCAATGAGAGGGAGAGGGAGCATGTGTGTGTGTGTTTATAGGGTGAGTTCCACAAGAAACCCCAACACACACATTCACACACACCCTCTATCGCACTCCCATACATGCAGACCACCACACCCACACCCCCTCACACACCCCAGGCACCCTCTCCCCACACACAACCCCCCACAAACCCATACCCACCCACACCCCACATATCCATGCACACACCCACATGCTTCCACACCCCAGACATCTATCCACCCGCACAAAACCCCCACACACACCCATACCCTCCCCACATCCCACACACCCACAGCCCCCCACAAACCTGTACCCACACCCCCATGCCCCCCACAGTATACAAAAGTAAGACTTCATGTTAAGCTAATGTGTAATCACCTCTGTGTACACTACACAAACACATGTAAATCAAGACAAAAATATTTTTTGAAATCAAATCAGTAAATGTTGTAGATGTTCGATTTTTAGAATATAATTGGGTACTTTTCTTGTCCTGGGATGGCAAAACGCCTTGGTGAAAGAAGTATTTCTGGGGGCATGGGGAGGGACTTCTGGTGGCAAAGGTCGGAGGTTAGGGGGTGTGACTTCTGGCCCTAAGATGGCAACCAGGGGGCGGAGCACCTATCAAGGGGCAGGGCTACCCACATGGCCCTCAACAGCTTGCCCAAACTTGGTAAGCAGCCCTCTGCCCAAAATAATTGCCCGCCCCTGTTCTAACATCAGAGTCTCAATCCTGCTCCTGTTTCAACTGAGAAAGACTGAGCCTGGTAAGATGCTGGGAATTTCCTGGGACCAAAACTACATGGTACAAAGTTCCTCCTGCAACATTCTACTTGCTCTCATCACTCAATATGCTATAGGGTCCCTGTCGGATATCCAGACCCACAGATTTAACAATCTATACAAATGCAAGGCAGTACCATTGTCACAGGGAAGGGCTGACATTTAAAAAATATGTATTCATTAAGGCTATAGATTGTAGTCGTGTTAGTCTAAGGACATAGGCAGACAAGGTTCTTTGGGTAAATCTGATATCTCTTATTAGACTAACTCAAATATTTGGGAAAATCCTTCTTTGCAAGCTTTCAGGTACAACCACCCTTTGTCACTCTGAGGAAGCATCTGCAGTTGGTATGTGCTCTTCCTAGATGGAATGAATAGTAAAGAAGCCAGAGGCTGGTCTGCATGCAAGAAAGTCAGTCAGTGAAAAAGTAAATTGAGGAGTCAGTGAGTGAGAGACAGGTTGGAGGGAAGGAGAATGAATGTAGCTGGTAAATGGCAGAGAGATACCTGGGGAGTCAGATGTTAGGAAGGTCATACCGTGTCATAAATACAATGTCTATATTTAGTCCATGATTTTAGTATCCAGTAGATTTATAAAGTGAAGTTCGTATGCTTATCTGTGAAAGGTGTTTTGTAAATTCCCCTTGAGGATTAGAAGTGAGAGATTGGAAAGAGAGATTGGTTTTCTTGTCAGAAATGCACCCCCACAGGTAATTCGGTATCCTTGTCTTTGACAGATTTCTGGTGTGCATTAGTTCTGGTACACAGTTGTTGTTTGGTCTCTCCTACATATTTTCCAGTGAGGGCATTTGGTGCATTGGATGAGATATGTAACATTTCTGGAGGTGCACCTGTAAGATCTAGGAACACTGATGGCTCTGTTGTGGGGTGTAGCAATTGTGAGGCTGATAGAGATAAGTTGGAAGATTTTTCATTTTTTGTCCTGCCATGAACCATTCGGTGTGTTTTGGGCCATAGGAAGTTTGTATTAAAGCATCCCCACTGCCATTTTTCAGTGCGGGGATACTGATATAGATAATGCCCCAGACACTTTAATTAGAGTTGCTCGTAGAGCTGCTCTAATTATAGCACC